GTCAGTGCTTTGCAGAGGACCTCACCTCCATCCTCAAATAGCGCAGCTGGGAGGGAATCCGGGCCAGCGGCATGAAAACGATTAAGGGCTGTGATCGCGTTCCGGACGTCGGCCTCCGACGGAGGCTCTAAACTAACCGTCCATTGCTCGTCCTGCATCACTTGAGTAGGAAGAGGTCCGGGAGCAGGGGGCCAGCTGAACTGATCTTGAAAGTGTTCCGTCCAACGAGCAATACGGTGCTCCTTATTGTGTATCAGCGCACCCGCGCTGTCTTTGATTGTCTCACTGACGCCTGGTTTTCTGGGACCAGTGGTGCGGATTAGCTGGAAGAGCTTGCGGTAATTGCCTACTGCTCCTGCCTCCTCCATTTCTTGGGCCCTACTGGTCCACCAGGCTTCCTTGTCAGCACTTAGGCTCTGCTTTACTTCACGCCTGATAGCCCGTCTGGTCACATTGTGTTCAGAACCAGCCGGGAGGTATCTTCTGGATTCCAACAAGTTCACCGACCTCTCATATATCCAGTGACTGGTGCGGTGACGATGGATAGTGCCACAACCAGATGCTCCTTCGTTGTACATGGCGACCGAGATCCTATTCCACTGAAGCTCAGTGTCATTAGGACAAGACAGCGGAAGTTCGGTATGCAGTGCTTCTTGATAAGCTTGCCTAACCGAGGACTGAGACAATTTCTCAGTTACTAATCGTAAGGGACGCTTGGTGCGCATCCCGGTAAAGTTCATGGAGAAACGACAGCGTACCAAGGCGTAATCAGAGTCGACACTGGCACTCCAGTACGAGCGGCAATCCAGGATTGAACCACGCCATCTGTAACTTATGACTATATGGCCAATTTGCGTTCATCGCTGGCCAGCTACAGGAGGACGCCAAGTGGCACTTCGGCGCCCATTGTGTCTAAAAGCAATGCTACTAAGAAACAACTGGTGCTCCGCACACAGTTGCAGCAGACACTCACCGTTGTCAGTCCGTTCGGAGTTAAGTCCATACTTACCACCCAGCTGAGCTTCTGAAGAGTTCAGGCTCCCTACTTGTGCATTCATATCCCCTGCAAGTACTATAATATCTGAACTAGTAGTACTGCGTAGTATCTCGTTCAGTTCCTGATAGAATGTGTCCTTGACAACATTAGAACTGTAGTCGGTGGGAGCATAAGCGGAAATCACAAACAAACAACGTTTTGTTTCGCTTTGTGAATCAACCTTAGCTAATGTCGTCAAACGGGTTGCACATAAACGGCTGTTCACCGGAATCCAATCAACCAACGATGGCTCAGCCTTCGAGCTTAGAATGATACCTACACCCGCTTGACCCGTGAGTACTGCATCGGCGTCTCCGGATGCGTGCAACCAATAACGAGAGGATAATCCGGGTGCAGTTAATTCAATAACCCGGTTAGGGTCATTGATCCTAGTTTCGGACACACAACACACATCAATACTCAGTGTGTCCAAGGTGTGTGCGAGTGCAGCCTGTTGACCTGTTTGTCTTAGAGTGCGAACGTTGAATGTCGCCATGGAAAGGGGATAGCATGGCCTTATAAGGGATTTTGCCGATAGGTGCGGTGGTATGGTGGCTGCTGATGGTTCTACTCCAGTGGCACTTCGGTTGCTGTCGATTAAGCTGGGAGTTATAGAATTAAGGTTCGTAATGGGAGTCGGGATGGGAGTAAGCGAAAAAGGTGGAAAGGAAGGGAGGCGCCAGCAGTAGGATGTTTTCGGTTATCCGCCCTGCTGTATGCAGCAGATAAGGCGATCCTTGATAATATGCGCGACGGCCGATGCAGGATGAAGTTTATGTTTGAAGAAAATGTCATGGTTGGATGTGGGCTGAGATACTGCCAGGGTGCCCAGACCTAGACAGGAGGACGATTAGGGTCCTCTTCCAATGCCTTTGGCTCGAAAGCCTGTCCGCAAGGCAGCGGGGAGGTGGCAATGATTTAGTTTTACAGAAATGGACGCCATCCGATTCCAAACCCCGAAACTGGAGGACCAGGAGACTGAGTTTGTCTGAACTCTCACCATTGACCAACCTAGTAGGAGTAGCTCTCAAGGTGCCCGGAGGCAGTACGCATTATAGCTCAATGGGTCAGTGACGTACGCAAACCGTCGCACCAAGTTAAGGTCCAGTCTCGTTGCGACTGCTTCGCAGTACTCAGCAGTCTACTCGATAGAGCCACCGCTGCCCAACAACAACGTGCCCACGTGCTCCCCAACTGGAGCAAGTTGAAATTAGTATCGAGATGGTCATGCGACTAATCCGTGAGTTGAACCCTTACTCCGCACCAGGCCCTGACGGACTACACCCACTATTCCTAATGATGCTGGCCGAGTACATCGCCGATCCAATGTCCCAACTATTCCAGCTCTCACTTGCAGAGGATCGCTTACTTAGCGCCTGGAAAGTAGGAATAGTAATGCCTAAATACAAAGGTAACCGGCAAGACCCTGCGAACTACCAGGTACTATGTCTGATGTCTGTTGTCTGCAAAATCATGGAGGGAATAATTAAGCGCTCTCAACGGTCAATGGGAAGGCTTATGCGTAATCTCCCCCTCACAGCCGGATTACGCAGGGCACGATCCTGCATCACTAACCTGCTTGCTGCCAGAGAAGCATGATTTAAGGCAATAGAAGAGATGGAACACCTTGTTGTCATCTTTATTGACTTCAGAAAGGCATTTGACAAAGTTCCACATACACGTCTTCTGCTCAAACTTTAAGGAGTTAGTGTCGCCGGAAACGTCTTGTCTTGGATTTCAGACTTCCGGGAAGCATGAACCATTTACGTGAAGGTGAACCGAACACTTTGTCCCTGTGCTTATAACCAGTGAGGTTCCCCATGGCTCCGTCCTTGGACCAGAGCTCTCTAAACTGTACCTCAACCATCTTCCAGCGACACTGCAAACTGGCTGTCTAGTCTACACTGATGACCTCAAATTGTGGCCTTAAATATCTTGCCCCGAGGATGCCGACAGATTCCAAGCTTCGCTTGAACAGCTGCATAATTGGTTCGCTGAATGGTGACTCCCGGTAAACCATGGCAAATGTGCCGTTCTCTAGATTGGTGGCCCGAATCCTTTCGGTGCCTATCATATCGGAGGATATCTCCTCAACTCTATCACACATGTGAAGGACCTGGGAGTCATCGTCTCGCACTATCTCAATACATCCCTTGACACGCAAAAGTAGGTCGCGGCAGCCAACCGAATGCTCTGGCTTTGCGAAGGTTGTTCTGCAAAATTACTCCGGCGATTTTTAGAACCCTGTTCGCTTCGCATGTCCGTCCGGTCCTAGAATATGGCCTCCCGGCCGCTTACCCCCTAACGAAATCTGAACACGATCTGATAGAGAATGTGCAGAGGCGCGGTTCAAAATCTATATCGAAGCTTCGGAACCTTCGGCTTAAGACGTTGAACCTGTTCTCCATGGATTACCGTCGCCGTCGCGGAGATCTCCTTCACACCAGACGCATCCTGGGGGGAGAGCTTGGAAGTGAGCTGCAGTTCTTCCATCTCAGTGTGGGCAGCTCGACATGTGGCCACAAGTGGAAATTATTTAAGCCGAGGACACTGCGCCCGTCCGCAAGCTGCTCTATGTTCCAGGGTGGTAAATGATTGGAACAGTCTGCCGAAACACATCATTGACTCGTAGACAAAGGAAAGTTTCAGGCGATCGCTAGACACACACCTAACGCATATGGCTGGGTCTTGCTGCTCTTACTTTAAAGGTGACGATCTCGAAAGCAGTAACGTTTCCCGACAACAAGCACCCACCTTGTGACGCTTCGGAACCGATAGAGCTGACAAGGCATTTCCCTCCTGCTTTCAATATTCCAATGAACTCCAATTACTGGCACACACAACGGGACGTTGGTCAAGCGAGAGCTTGTTTCGTCCCTGGATCCTGTCATGCCTTACAGTATTGTCTCCCAGCCGCCTAGCGATATCTGAACATGATCTGATAGAGAATGTGCAGAGGCGCGGTTCAAAATCTATATCGGACCTATGGGACTTTCCCTAAATTCTTCGATTTAAGACGTTGAACCTGTTCCCCATGGAATACCTCCGCCGTCGCGGAGATCTTTACACCAGACGCATCCTAAGGGGAGAACTTGACAGTGAACTGCAGTAGTTCTTCCAGCTCAGTGTGGGTAGCTCGACACGTAGGCACAAGTGAAAATTATTTAAGCCGAGGACACATACTATGCACATAAACTAGAGGTGGGAAACACCTCAGCTACTGTGCCGCAATACCTAAAGGAAAAAAAGGGAATAAAATGCAACAGGTGCAATCCAGCTGAGCTACCGGTAACGGATGGTCAACGTTCCGGTAAGCTATCTGCCGGCTTGGGGAAATTGTCATGTTTGTATGTGGGCTGGGATACTGCCAGATCGCCCAGACCTAGGCAGCAGGACGATTAGGGTCTTCAACCAGTCTTTGACTCAAAAGCCTGTCCGCAAAACAGCAGGGAGAAAGCAGTGATTTACATTTTAGAAATGGACGCCATCTCATTTCTAACCCTCAACCGGGAGACTGAGTTTGTCTGATCTCTAAGCATTGACTAACCTGGTAGGAGTAGCTCCTAATGAGCGTGGAGGCACCACCCAGTATAGCTCAATGGGTCAAAGTGGTACTCAAACCGTCGCCCCAGGTTAAGGTCTAGTCTCGTTGCGACAATATATATATATATATATATATATATATATATATATATATATATATATATATATATAATTCAACACTTGACCAACAAACAATTGGCAATGTGCCACAACACATGGGTAACAACAACCACAGAAATGTAAAAAAGTGACAGTCAGAGAAAGGGTTGAGCTCATCATTTTATGTCTGTCGCCTTATTTCCTTTGTTCCATACCTCTCAAGTCAAAATGGCTTTCGGAAATGGTCCCAAGATTGGCACCCATCCATCCATTTGTACTATCATTTCTGCATAGCGTTATTTCTGTCTTTCTTTTTATCATAGCCCATTTTCTCCTATTCTGTTGCTCAATCAATGTGGTCACTGGAGGAAATCACCAAGATTTTAGAGGTATTTCCCGAAGCGTTGAACTCGGACATTCTCATCCCTCGTCCATCAGATACAGTGCACACGGTACTTTTATCACCCTTCTATCATAAAACCCTCAGCAGACACATGTGAATAAACCTGTAAATAAGATATATGCAAAACCGGATTTGGCAAATAAAAAATCTGCGAATCTCACCATGTCCTTGGTAGATCCAGCGTGGGAGTTGATTGATCCGTCACCTGATATTCGGGCCCTTTTTTCCAACTTCAATGCAGAATATTTCGATGGTTCTCTTGGAGCCGTTGAAGTTCGATGGAGTCCCCGTATGACACTCTGTGCTGGTTTGTGTTGTTACGAAGGTCGTGGCGGGCTCTGTTCCATTCGTTTGAGTGAACCTCTACTTAAGCTTCGCCCCAGAAGTGACCTAATTGAAACCTTGCTGGTAAGCCACCACTTCGCTTTATTTGATATCACTTTTCATCTAGCACGAAATGATTCACGCCTACTTATTCGTAACGCAGAAGGATCGTGTAAGTCACTAGCTACTAACGTGAGCTGATCAGCACATTTTCAGGACCGCGACGGGCATGGGCCTTCGTTTCAATTCCACATGAACAGGATAAACGCAGCAACAGGGGCAAAGATAACGGTAAGCATGTTGTTTTCTCATGCTGTCCTGTAGGATACCAACTGGGCTAACGTACTGGCGGCCCCCCATTACCTGTGGTAATTTGCTTTAACAGATACTAAATGTGTCTCATTGGTGGTGCGTTGGTGGGCTTGACACATCAGTCAACTACATGCTTCGCCTTGATACATTAGATTATGTGAGATCGAAATATCACTTCTCTGGGCATCGATTTCGGGTTCGTTGGCAAAAATACCGATCACAATCTGATCAAGCAAGTCTCATTAAGCTGTTGCTGTGAATACAGATTATCTGGCCACATAAAACTCCAACTAGAACAAGTTGTGGCAACCAGTGTTGTTCACATTTACTTCAGAACGGACGTCATTTTTATCACGTTTTACCTCCTACGCAGTTACTATGACTACCCTCGTCTTACATTTATTCGTCCTTTTCCAGCTCATGCTTGTACAGTTGTGAGAGCCTCTACTTCCTTCGTTGCACATGTATCTACCCTTACACAAGTCATTTTCATGAGTTCTATGTATCGTGCCCTTCTTCACCAAGTAGCACCGCCCCCAAGATGTGCTTAAGCATAAAATTTCAAGCAAGTTGTACACAGAAACACTGAAAATCTAACGATTGGAAGATAACTGCGCATCTCTGTAACTTTTACTTCATCGAACTGATTTGGAATATTTACTCTACGCCGTCAATGTCAGTGTCCTACTCTAGTGAGGGAAATCTTGGGCTTTCTGGACGGTGATATGACCTTGAGTTCCTTTGTTACTTATTTATGCAACAGTTTAAATCTGGCAGCCTCCTCTTCCGTCATCCAGGTACTAGTGAATATCTTAGATCTTGTAATAATTAATCTGGGGCTACTAAACGCAAAAATATAGGATAAATCCGAGCAGAGCGGACAGATGCCTTATTAACGTCGTATGATGGCGTTGCCAGTCAAAAACAATGCTGAGCTTTATGACGCCACCGATTTCGTGACCACACCAATTTCGACTGAGTTTCTAGCGATAAGTGTAGCAGGTCTCGATACACATCCAAGAAGACGGTTCGGAGTGCCCTGATTCGGCCTTCCGATCAGTTTCCTTTATCTTCTTTGTCACATTGTCCAACTAGCCACTTCGGGGTCTCGACAAAATATGTTCACTATAGTGAGCGTTACACGCCACGGTGGTCGGTTAAGTGACGTTCGAGACAACTGACCCATTTTGCACAGGTAAATTCAGCTGGGAAACACCGGCGAAGCATCAGAGGTTTTGTCACCAAACGCCAACTGTTGGACTCCAGTATTGCGCACTCGGCGCGAGCATTACCCCGATATACCGATGTCTTCACCTCACATATCCGTCTTTGGTCGCACTGCAAACTCACACTCCACTTATGACCGCTAGTTTTCTGTTCTGCCGTCTCCATATAAATTTGGAGCTTTATAATACCGTATAAATTTTTACCGAAATGTGCGGTGAACTCGGTCATTTGATAACCATATGTTAGTCATTCAGTTAGGTAAAGAAAAACCGCAGGATTTTTCGGTTATACCCCTAGTGTGTCGACTACGTTTGTGGCACTGTCCTGAACTTATGAGAAACGATACACTTACCGAAACTTGCAATATAGCATCATTATAGTTGGGCGCAACTACAGTGGAGTTGAGTAACCCACACATTCTTAAGCTCTACCGCTGATCATCTGTTACAGTCCCAATTAAACCACAAGCGTTAATTTTTATTTTACCCGGTGTGGAAGCGGATCGGGGAAAAGGGGTTGTTCTGCCATGAGTCTTTTCTCGTAGCAAATGCAGTTAACAACTTGAAATCGCCTTTACGCTGTCCCGAGAGTTGTACTATGCGTTGTGCTTCGAGAATGACATTTTGTAGTGTGCTTCGTAGATCGGCGTTGCCAGAAATAGGAGTGCTTACCTTATTCGGAAACGCTCTTCAAGTCAAGATAGATAGCCACAGTATCCGGTTATCGTGCGACGCTGCTTGAGCACCTGTACACTGGTAACGCAGGTCAATACACTGCGCTCTGCAGTGGTGAGCTGTAGTTCGCAGGTAGAGGTTAATCCTTTGATACTTTCCTCTTAAGCTCTCCTCGAATGCCGGTTGACAGCCGTCAATTTGAGGACATTCCCTTCACATCAGTGTCCTAGCCCCCTCTCACCGTCGAGGGAAGCGACTGAATCAGTCGTCAGTGGTGCGCCTCCTGTCGGCAAAAATGTCGAAAACCGGCCAGAATCGGCCGCGTCGTTTTGATTGCAAAGTTCCATTGGGATGTCGTTCACACCGGGATCTTTAGCGCCCAGTCTCGATATCTGTCCCTGTTATCCAGTTTATAATTATGGTACAGCGAACTGGCCGAATATTTGGTTTACTATTAAAACCGAGATATTTACAAGTAAATCGGTTATCTTTTATTTCAGCTATCGTCTCCACCTTGGGCCTCCGCGTCGGCTGAATCCGAACGGTAATCAGAAGTTCTCATTGGGGCTTATCTTATTCCTCTCACGGAGGCTCATCATGCGTCAATATTTTCGTTAAATTTTGAGGCGCACAGCCAAATGAGTCCAGCCTCTGTCCAAACGGGGCTGCATAGTACGACATTGGGCAATATATGTTTTGTCGTGTACCTCGCACTTTCCCAGTGAACAGTAATGTTACGATATTTGATTGATACACCATCTATCCTCAACATCACCGAAAGGTGTCAATCGGTTCAGCAAGATAGGAGGCATAGATCACTAGACACTTCCTCGTGTGACGCATTCGTGAAACCGATATTTCTGTCCGTTTGCTTTATGGATCCTATCCCTTAATCATTGTACTTTTTATTGATTTTTCATTTTGGCCTTGCCCGTTCGCTTGGTTATATTTCCCTTCCACCTTCCTCCCACCGCCTTCGTTTATTCTATACCAACTTTATTCCATACCAGTTTTTCATAACTTTCACTCCTGAGTTCCTAACATTTAAAGCAGTTAGTTCCCTTCAACAATTTGAAAAGCACGGAAAAAAGACGAAGGCTGGTAGATGCATGCATTTCGTATTGTCTCCTCAGTACCATTAACAATAACCGATATGCATAGATACAGCTAACAGTGGGTGCAACCAGACAAGCTTAAGGTGCAAAACGAATGACGGAAGTTCCCACCTACGTCCAAGGCAACTTTAGGCTGACAAATAATTGTTTCTGAACACTCAAGGCTGGCTTAATCCGGCTAATTGCGACAGCCTCAGCAAATCGAAGGAAGCGGGGATTAGTGTGACGTAACACAACTTTAAACGCTGAGCCCAGCACTAATTGGTGACCCGAGTCTAATAGGTGTTTGCCTATCGAGGAAGCCGGCGGTCTGCGCGAACATGGAATCTGACGAGGGTAGGCAATCTGCGCAACTTCACGTTTAACCCATTTTGGCACATGTCTTTTTATTCGGGAAGTCAGCGTTCTATTGGCTCTGCCTATGTAACTTTTTCCGCAGTCACATACAACTTTTCTATACACGGTGTGAGTTGGCCCCAATAGGCTGAGCTTCCTTCGTTGGAGGTATGGGCAAATTTCGGGTTCGGTTGATAACGACAACTTGTGCAGCATAGTAACTTCCTTGTGTAGCCGAAATCATACGCTTAGTTGTCTTCAGCGTGGCTAAGTCACCTTTGAAAGGTAACTCAATATACACTTTCTTCTTGGCTGCCGTATGCACCAAGTCCTTTGGTCCTCGCGGTTGGCTGTGTTTCTCGATAAATCTTCGAGGGTAGCCATTCGCCATTATTGTTGCTGTAATTAACACTAGCTCATCGTCCAGACAGTCGGCCGAACAAATTCGTCTGGCACGACTAACTAGAGTCTTCACAAGTGTCCGTTTGTACCGCACTGGTGTGAAGCTGGTGAAGTGCAGGTACTGACCGGACCAAGTCGATTTTCGGTAAATGGACCTCTTAATCAATCCATCCTCCCTGCGAGTTATGGGTATGTCCAGATATGGTAGACAATTGTTTTGTTCTATTTCACATGTAATGCGTAAGTTAGCATGAGCACCATTGAGCCGTTCTACCGACATACAGAAAGCCAAGATATCATCGACATATCTTTTGTAGTATGGCACCTGGGCTATTTCTGTAGAAATGCTTCTTTCTGCCATCAACATGAAGAAATCAGCGAGCACAGGACCTAATGGGCTACCCATTGCTACGCCGTCAATCTGACGGTATGGCGTATTACGGAAGTGAAAATCACCATTCTCCGTGCACAATAGTAGAGATTCTCTTAGCAATTCAGTCGGAATTGGTAGCGAACAGTCACCGTTTTCAACTCATTCGCACACGTAATCAACCGTCTGATGTAGCGGCACGTTGGTAAATAAGTATTCTACATCCAAGAAACATATAACTTTGTCTGACAGGTTGAGTTCATCCAGGTCATCAATGAGTTGAAACGAGTCTTTAAGACTGTACGGATTGAATTGTTGTTTCGGCGGAGCTAGCAATAAGCCGGATTAAGCCAGCCTTGTGTGTTCAGAAACAATTATTTGTCAGCCTAAAGTTGCCTTGGACGTAGGTGGGAACTTCCGTCATTCGTTTTGCACCTTAAGCTTGTCTGGTTGCACCCACTGTTAGCTATATCTATGCTTATCGGTTATTGTCAATGGTACTGAGGAGACAATACGAAATGCATGCATCTACCAGCCTTCGTCTTCTTTTCTAACATTTGTCAACGAGACTCAACTAAACAGTTTGCAGGCCATCAAAGCGACCTTAATCGGGTGGTAAATAACACATCGGTACTTCCTATTCTATTAGTTTGTCTTCCATTCGCGGCACCATCCACAATGCTTGTTGCAACGTTATTTTTTCCACATTTTGTGTACGAGACCTTATGCGTCTCCTACCGTGGTATCACATTCGAAGTTACATCTGATGTACCTGCCTCTGTTTCTGTATTTTCTCTTATCTTGCCGTCTTGTTCCCTCCTGTTAGGTTTATCACACCTTTCACGATGAGGTTGCTAATTACCAAACTCATTGGTGGCGTTGCACCGGCCCATGCCGCGAAAGAAGTCCTTTTTACGGCTTTGTGAAAAGAGCTATGAATCGCGCTCCCGGACCCAGCGACAGCTGGTGGGGTCGGCATCAGGCCACGTGCTCTGGTGAGTGCGCTCTGTTTTCCTCTGTGCATATTACTGACCCACTGTTGATATTAGAACAGAATGCTGTTTGTCTTCAAAGACCGCATCTCTTACACAAATGTGACGTAATGATATGATTTGATATAATTGTGCTAACGCGGGACATCGCTTAATCTTCGGTTACTAACAGTTTTTATTATATTTTTGACATGTCTCAACACCTATCAGTCTCTTTAGACCGACTTTCTGTCAGCCGTTTGCTACTCAGGAGTCCATCCGTTACACCACTATATATATATATATATATATATATATATATATATATATATATATATATATATAAAAGCAATCCATAAGCTAGACATAATGCCAGCAAAATCCATGAAATGGAGGTAAATGCAGAGACTGCAAAGAAAAAGCAAAGGATAAAAGTTACAAATACGCTTTTTTGTTTGTCTTTTTTATATTTTTCACACACCGTTTTATTTCCGAAATAGTTTCCAGCCAGCTGTGTTCCTCAACTTTAATCCCCTAGCCCGGAAGGCGCACGGGACCTGCGACAGCTAAACTGGAGGTTAGCGCTTTAATCGTTTGTCACCACATGATAGGCTGATCACTGCTCGATTTTTTCCGTCCTGATCCTGTACGAACGAAGAGAGCGCTTCGGGGCAGCCGTTAGCATGGCATGCGTAAAACGTGGCCCAGCCATCTCCGTCGACACAGTGGTACCAGTCTGTCAAGTGGAAGTCCCGTGTTAACCTAGTTGCGATGTCCAACATCATCGTTGTGTACGTGTTTCATCCACTACACACAAGCTCTTCTCCGCAGACATCCATTGTCGAATGCCGAAATCCGACGCAAGTCATTCACAAGAATCGGCCAGGACTCACTCCCATACAGCAGCACCGCGCGAACACAGACCCTGTTCTTCACCAATAATAAACGGCACGACATTGTCACAGATGCCTCAAGTTAGCGAACGCCGAACGGGATTTAGCAATGCGGTGGTTAGTCTCTTTTCCACTGCTATCATCAGCAGAGACACAGGTTCCCAGGCAAACAAAGTTATCCACTTATTCAAGCTGCCTACCTTGAAAAGTGAGCACTGATGCAGATGGATGCCAATCCAGGACCAGGTCTTTGCATTTCGTAAGGCAAAGATCATGCCATATTTTAATGCTTCAATCACCAAGCGGTTTACAACAGCCTGTGTGCTCTGTACGTCATTACCGAGCAAGGCAATATCATCAGCATAATCTAAATTGGTCACGCGGTTGCCAGGAAGAAGCTCTACATAAGTACACTGAAAGCCCTCAAGAGCGTTTAAAAGGACATCCTCTACCGTAAAATTGAAGAGAAACGGAGACATGGGGCAACCCTGTTGTACAACACTGCTGACGGCAAATGGTGAGGAGAGCGTACTGTAAGCCCACACTTTACCTGAGACATTGCAATATAATGCTCGAAGGATGGCAATATACTTTTCGGGTACTAGATTTGTAATCAACGCCATAAAGCTGGCCGATCGAAGCCAGCTGAATCGAATGCGGAAGTGTTCAGCCCAGCGGTCCATGCGCCTGTGTAAGTTTGTGATCGGCTTTCCGTCAGCTTCGCAAATTACCTCACTGACACCAAGTCTTTTGTGACCAGTGACCCGAATGACCTGGAAGAGCTTGCGAAACCTTTCAGAGAAGGCTGCCGTTTCCATCTTTGAGGCGCGCTGAGACCACCAAGTTTCGCGATCAGCTCGCAAGCTTTGCTTAAGTTGTTGGCTTAGGATACGACGCATTGCATTGCTATTTCGATCAGATGGGGATGCTGTACGATGAAAAAAATATTCCAGTGAGTGTGCGGAAACCCAGCCCCTCAGAGGGCGCCTTATGATTCCGCAGATTGAATGACTGGAGGATAGCATCGCTTCACATAAGAAACTCTAATGATTTTCGATGTCTCGAGGCGGAGTACTAATGAATGCGTGCAACAAGGAAGCTTGATAAACTAATCGAATAGAGGGTCAGCTAACCTGTTGGTGTCGAGCGTATGGTGCTTTCGTTTTGAGGAACCGCCGAAGCGCATGCAGATGTTCGCGCAGACCAAAGCATGATCTGAATCGAGGTACGTAGACCAAATCGATCTACAATCCCGGACGCTGCCTCGCCATCTAAAGCTGATTGTAATGTGATCTATTTGTGACCACGCTTGCGTTGGTGAAGGTGGACGCCATGTGGTTGCACGTCTTCTTGTATGCCTAAAGTTCGTACTTGATAGAAAGAGACGGTGCTCTTCGCGTAACGTGAGAAGTCTATCACCGTTGTCAGAACGACTCATCAAGCGCGTGACTGCCACCAAAATGACGTTCGCACGGAAGCACGCAATATACTCGTGTATTTAGATAACCGGCAATGACGATGACAGCTGACTTTTCGGCCTTGTTCAATAGGTTGTATAGTCCACTATAAAAGTCATCCTTAACCAATGCACAGCTATAGTCGGTTGGAGCGTAGGCAGAAATGACAAACAAATTGCGCCTCTCTTCACGATATCTGTTGATTCTATATGAATCTTGATGCCGGACCGCACACAGTCGGCTGTCGATCGGGAACCAGTCGAGTAATGCAGCCTCCGTTTTACCTCTCAATGCGATACTGACACCAGCCGAGCCGGCTGCTGCTGCCTCCATGTCACCTGACAGGAGTAGCTAATAGGTGGTTTCAAGAGCAGCCGGGGACGACAAATTAACCACGGTGCTGGGGTCCTAAAATCAAGTCTCTGAAAGGCAACAAACATTAATGGCGAGGGACCCTAGAGTGCACGCCAGGCTGGTGTGTTGTCCAATCTGTCGGATGGTCCGATCATTGAACGCTGCCAGGAGGGATGAAGAACGCGGTCGAAGGCTAGATGTTGGTCGTACGATTTGGTTGTCAGCGAGACGGGCATTGGAAGTGGATTCAACAGGTTGTGGATTATCAACAAGAGAACTGTTGGCGTGTGATGGAGAAGCACGAGTAGCAGGGAAAGTAGCAGCAAAAGTGAGCGACGTAGTAGTAATTGCGGAATCCACGGTTTTCACAAAGGGCACGATACTACCCGGTTGCCCAGGTCGAAGTAAGAAGTTGTCTTAGGGGACTCCATCCCAAGCCTTTGGCTCAATAGCCTGCTTGCAAGGCAGCAGAGCGAAGTCTGGGATTCGCACCCATTGGGAGCCGATGACTGGTTGCTCAGTCCATACGCCTTTCGTTTGGTGAGTAGCCAAACAGGGGCCCAAATCTCCCCATGATTTCAGCAACAAGGTGATGGGATAAATTGCTTCATCTAGCTGAAACCAGGGGCAGTGACTTTATTTAGTGGCGAGTCACATCCGCCAAGTCGCAGTGTTGGTAAACAGACATAGGGAGAACGCTTGTTAAGCGAAAACCCACCACGTCCTGGATCACTGCCGCCGAACCATTCGCTGGACCGAGATAATCCCGGGCCACCCAGCTAGCACCACGCGGAGGTTGTTCGACAGGTCAGCCCCGTTACATCTCTACGTTGAAACAACCGTCCACCCATCATAATTTTTGCGTGCGTCTGTTCACCGGCTCCACTGATCAATCCTCTGATATCGCATTAATCTCATCGATCCTAATGATTAACAGTTCATTTTTGAATGTTCTTTCGGAATTTTGTTCTTCCGGATGTCTCACTCTGAGGTAAACTATTTGCAGGTCGACATATTTTTATTTCGAAATCTATTCATCCCAGCAACCCACAAGCTAAATAGCTCAACCCCAACCCGGATAAACACTAGATGCGTTTCACCCTATCGGGACTCGTCATTGGTGCGCATTCCCTGGGTCCCCTGCTTTGATCGAACCCATGACCGCTAGAGGCTAACGCCAACTGGCCAGCAGATTAAGCCACAGCCATGGGGGACGACAGCTGGGCTACATCATTTGCAAGCTAACTGGGATGTAGCACGACCTATCTCTCACTACCAACTAAAATCCTCGTACTCATAAGTAATATGACACAAATTACCGGCACTCGTTCGTTACTACAGCGGCAACGCTTTCCTCTCTGTCTTGTTGCACCCCGTTGCATTTGACATGTAATTTTTCCCGAAGGTGCATGTAGCAAGCTTCCAAATGATTTTTCGCCTAAGCAACGGTGAACTTACATTCTATCATCAATAACAATGACGAGAATAATCAAACGAACCGGATACTTCGCTTAGTCTGGTGTTTACATGCATATTTTGGGGAGCGATGTTACTGACATTTACCGCGGTACTTAGTCTTTTCATTTGCGTCTGATCGTGCGGTGTTTCAGGCGGCGATCACTTTGTGCGCACGCTCAATCACTTGACCACCAGCTGCAATTAAGGTGACCTATTCCGAAGCGATCTCCACATTTCACAAATACTTGGCTTCTAATTTATACGGTACTGTACTGAGCACTGGTGAATTCGCCATTTCCTGTCAAAATGATTCGAATAACAGACTGGTTTATTCCGGTGGTGCAAGCTGAATTTAGGAGCCGTTGAACCCATAACCACCGATCTAGCATCTCGACTTACGAGCAGACTAAGTACACCGAAGGCTAATTTAAAGGTAACAAGCACTGGGGTTAATGCCTTCTAAGGCTGTGGGCTGCCGGCCCTGAGTGTACTTTAGCAAGTATACATAGAGTCATGAGTTTCGCTAAAGTGAACAGCGGTCTTTTATACCACCGGTCACCAGCGCCATCAGCAGTATGAAATTACTAGTATTTTCTACTGACGCTTCCATGCTTTACGACAGTTAGCATGAATAGACGACATTGTGGACAACGAATAGAAACAAGAGTATATATATATCTATATTATACACAATCTGTGGTACAGATATTGTGCCATCGGAATCATGGCTGAATAGGAAAACAATATGAATAATAAGAAAAGAGCAACAAGAAATGCTTTTTTTTGTCAAGTTTACCACTCACAGATTTTGAAATTTTTTTCAGTTTGTTCTTTTTTAGGGGGAGGAAGAAGGGACACCGCA